ACCTTGAGACAATTCTTTTCTGCATAGGCAAATAAAGCAAAATACATTTCAGCAGCTCCAAAAAGTAACAGATCTCAAATACTTTTTTTTTAACCAGCATTACAGATCAATTACTGACCAAATTGCCAATTTCTGGATTTGGTGGAGAGAGGAAATGGAGCAAGAATTTTACAGCTGTCCTTTTTAAAATCTTGTTATCTGTGGAAGCACCATTTGATTAAAAGGACTTACACTATTATTCCTAATATGTAAAAGGACAAGGGGAACAAAAGTCAAATGCTTTGCTGTGTGTATGAGATGCTTTACTGTGTAATATGCAAGAGCCAGGGATGGCCGATCAACAGCAATCATGGATAATAAACATTGTAAAGTACTGTTGTTACCATTTACTCCAAAGTGCTAATGGATTGCAGGTACTAATTTTACTCTGTTTTAAAAAATGTGAACTATTTCTAGCCCCTTCATAAAGTTCAAGCTTATTGGATAGATAATGAAAGGAGACAAGAAATATTTTTATGGGCTTGTATTTTCCACAGCCCAAATTCTAGATGCTTTTATTGGTACACTTAGAAGACTGTTTGCATGTGACTATTCCTCTCTGCCAGGTGTTCTCTGCCCACTTGTGTGTTGCAGTTACAAATTATGTTCTGGCTTCTTCAGATTGTGAAAGATGGACCAAGTTAGTATAAAATCAATGATTTTTTTTTTTTTAATTATAGTTAAAAGATGACCCAGCACCCCTCTCACACTGAATAATGGCACAGCATATGTAATAATTGCCATCTGCAGAGCATTGTTTTATTGGAGGGCTAACGAGCCAGCAAAGATTATGGTTTTCCATTTTTGTCTGTATCACAACAAAAATTTTTATTTCTTCTTTATTAAGTTTTTAAGAAAAAGTGCAAAAATAAGAGGAACAACTTAATAAATTACCAGCAGCTACTAACAATTACACCAGAATAAATTAATGCAAACGGATCATCTAAATTTGGCTTTTGTTCCCATTTTTTTGGGCAATGCAGCACAACTAAGTCTTCTCATTTGGTCTGCAAGATACCTTCTGGGTTAACTGTGTAGTGGGCAAAAACCAACACAGGGACAAACACACACAGTTAGTTCCCCACATATGACAAGAGGGCACAGTAATTCAAGTAGCTAAAAACTAAAAATCATTCATGACCAACTACAGCTATATAGGCATTTACTAACCTCTTCAAACACATTAGATATTATCCTGCCAATTTCAGACTTAAGACCTAGGAAGAATATGAGCTTTTACCTCCTAGTAGTTTCTATTTCATGCAGCATCAACTTTTCATACTGGAACAAACCAATTTTTTAACAGATTATTAGAAGATTTCAAGAAATAATTCTAGAACTAATTGATATGTCATTAATCTGGACTAGACATCATCTCTGTTACTGATTTAACATATACTTTGGGTGGGAGAAAAGCAGACAGTTTCTGCTGTGAAATAAACGAACTTTCCAACGAACTTGGAGCAACAGCCTATCACAAACAGAAAACCAATTCATGAAAAGTGGTCAACAAGTTTTGATGAACACTGTAGGATCATGTGAGTGACAAAGGCATCTTCCAACGAATGGTATCAAACCTGCTATTAGACTTAACAGTAGGAACATATCATAGAACCATAGAATAGTTTGGTTTGGAAGGGACCTTTAAAGGTCATCTAGTCCAACCTCCCTGCCATGGGCAGGGACACCTTCAACTAGATCAGGCTGCTCAAAGCTCCATCCAACCTGACCTTGAACGTTTTGAGGGATGAGGCATCCACAACTTCCCTGGGCAACTTGTTCCAGTGTTTCGCCACCCTTATTGTAAAAAAATGTCTTCCTTATATCTAGTCTGAATTTGCCCTCTTTTAGTTTAAAAACATTACCCTTTGTCCTACTGCTACAAGCCTTAATTTCTTGTCCCCATCTTTCTTATTGGCCCCCTTCAAGTACTGGAAGGCTGCTATAAGGTCTTCCCAGAGCCTTCTCTCCTCCAGTTCTCAGCCTGTCTTCATAGTGCTCCATCTCTGATAATTTTTGTGTCCTTCCTCTGGACTCGGTCCAACAGGTCCATGCCTTTCCTGTGCTGAAGACTCCAGAGCTGGATGCAGTACTCCAGGTAGGCTCTCACTAGAGCAGAGCAGAATCACCTCCCTCGACCTGCTGGCCACGCTTCTTTTGATGCGGCCCAGGATATGGTTGGCCTTCTGGCCTGCAAGCGCACACTGCCAGCTCATGTCCAGCTTTTCATCCACAAGTACCCCCAAGTCCTCCTTTGCAGAGCTGCTCCAAATCCCTTCAACCCCCAGCCTGTATCGGTACTAGGGGTTGTCCTGACCCAGGTGCAGGACCTTGCACTTGGCCGTGTTAAACCTCACGAAGTTCACGTGAGCCCACTTCTTGAGCTTGACCAGGTCCCTCTGAATATTCAAAAGGGTTCACAGAACACGTTAAATTCTGACCTGAAGGCTTACTGGTTATTGCAGGTCTGCCAGCTCTCTTTCCATTTTTCCATGTTTTACAATAAGCCACGTGTTTTTTCAGTTAAAATGAAAAGATTTGCATCTCTGTGTATGTGGCTTTTTTTTTTTTTTTTTTTTTTTACACTGAATGGAAGTGAGCAAACAAATAACAAACACAACTTCTTCAAACACTGTATTACTAAAAATTGTAAACTAAAAACTAAACTGAAATTGAACAAATATTTAAAGTAAATTCAGTAAGAAATAGGTGATAAAGCTGACTAGGTAAGTTATTTAGGTATCAGTTAAAAAAGAGCCATTGCAGGAAAGTCCACAAGTGAAGTTAGAAAAACCTCACAAAGCATTACTGCTTGAAAGAAACATTATTTGTACTAGAAAAACAGTGTTAAACTCTAGAAGCCCCTGCACATTATGACTTTTGGTGACAAAAATTAGCCACCAGAGGGAGCCCATATAATCTGGTACAAGGGACATCACTGTTCAAAGAGAAATTTCAGATATGCCGATGAGAGTTCAAGAAAATTATTGCCTATATCTAGAAACTGTTTATAGTCCACACAAAAACCCCCATCCCTCCTTAGTACTTCATTTCAGATTCATTCTTATCCTTATTAATAAATTCATCACACAGAGAAAGACTTCCAACATTTACTCTATGACTTGAAATACCCTTCTATTAAGAACAGTCCTCAAATGCAGAACTGTATTTTTTTTAATTAAAAAAACCCGCAGTCCTTGCCACACTGGATGATCCCATTTTATTCTTAGAAGGCTGATACCTCAACTTTGCCTCCCAAATCTTTGCAATTGTCGAATCTGTATGATTTTAAGTTAATAAATCAAATATAATAGAAGCAGTAACTGTAATTAACATCACTAGTGAACTGTGTTTCTAGTCTGTGACACTTCACAACTTCTTGTGAATATGTATTCTTTTACTATTGAATTTGCCTGTGCTTTCCCTCTGCACCATGACTGTTTTACAAAGTTGATATCAATACAATAACTTAACAGTGTAAAAAAAATATTCAAGGTGCATACATTTCTATACTAAACACACTATCTTTCCTTAGAATACTTTGCTATTAAAGGAGTCAAAGAAATGAAATTTGCTATGGCAAAAGCTTTTATTTGGCCCCAGAGAATATAAAAGGGATTTGAAGAACTCTGTAAATCAGCAAATAAATACAGTGTATATAACTTCTCCCACTAAATTAAATAGCGAATTGTTACTTTTCTTATGATTACAACGTTGTCTAGCAAAAAACCACACTAACAACATGGAGGACTTGAAGTGCACAGTGCTCTAGGATACATTAGCAAAGGTCTTTGTAATTCAGAGAGTAGGAATCCTAAATGCAAGATGCAGATCCCTAGCCAAGTCGTCTCGGAAATAGCTAATCAGAGGTCTGAACACTGAATTTTCATGTGTTTTTGTTCTGATTTCAGAACAACTGAAGCTCATACTCATATACGTAGCATAATCAAACATCTTTACTGAAAAATTGCAAAATACACAGGAAACATTAAAAAATTGTTCTGTACACAATCTCACCTCAGCCCACACTGATATTGGCATTAGTGGACCACAGAAAGAATATGAAACACTGTTATGTTAAAGACATCTCATAGAGGCATTGTAAGACATCTAGTAATCATATCTAACAATTTAATATATATTCTCAAGATCTACTTTGTTATGTATGTCCTTGCTCTGAAGAAAACCTTTGTGCTTCTATACTAGAAGCTAGAGATGCTAGTCAGGACTCCCAATGCTGAAGAAAACAGAAAACAGTACTAATGAATTCCTGCATTCACACACCTAGTGACTGTGTATTCATGCCCAGATCTTAAAGTGAACTCTTTATTTTTCCTAAAATGCTAGACACATAGTCCTGTGAGATTGCCTTTTTATGCCAGTCCAGGGAAACCTTATACACTGGACCCACAAGCAGTACTTTCAGAAAGTACTACTCAATTTGCTGCTTAATAAAGAAACAATTGACCTACAATCTATTTAAATGGATAATTATGTAAGTTAACCAAATAAATTGATGCAACTGTTCCGATAGTTCAATGAGCAGCTTTATAGACATGTGTTCCTAATTTATCCATAAATTCATATTCAATGAAGTTTTGAAATATAATTTCTGTAGAAACACACAGCAGACAACACACAGTTTGCGCAAGTAACTTCAGTTTCTTGACATATTTCACTGATGTACCAAGGAACAGTATGGTTTAAGAAAGTCTACATAGAGGGATTCAGAGCTACAAATTGCCATCCTTTATGAACACAAATACTACACACACATAATAAATTGTGAGTTACCAATTTCTATGAATCATTTAATATCAAAGCTAATGAATTCTGAGAATTTGAAATTATAAGTACCTTAAAAATAGAACACATTAACAAACAGTGGGTTGACCTTTTATTTGGAGTGGAAATCTACAGTTTTAAAATTAACACTTCCTTTGTTACTTTTAATCTCTTACCAGGTCTCTCCTTGCCTGTTCCTTTTGACTCAGCAAATTTCTGTATTAAACTCTCAACTGTAGTATTTGTCATGTTATTAATAAACTCTTCATGCACCTTTAAAAAAAACACACCACACACAAAAGGAATTTAAGAAACAGTAATGGAAAGAATGCAATTAATTTTAAAAAGTGGTTTTCTCTAGAGTTAAAGTTCAAAATAACACCACCTAAAAATATATTACAGGGCTTCCAGAAATCAACAGGCATTTTATCAAGGAAATCCCTTCTTTGCTTTAGTATTAGCAAGTGTATGTACAACACAGATACAAATTAGGAATGAAAGAATACAGCTTGATGACAGGATCTAGGATTTATTTCCATTTGTTCCATCTAAACAATTTGTGTATATATAATTTTCTGCATTTGTCAGCAACATGTCCCACTACAGTGTCAGAAAGACAAGCAGACTCTTAAGCCAGCACCAGTTAAGGGTGTGAACTGTTACTACTCTATTATCACAGCTTCCACCTGCTCGAGTAAAAGCATTACTGTTGTAATGTTTTTGGTCTGACAAACAACCACATGTTGTTAATACGAAGTTTTTCCAACAGACAGTGAGTATATGCTTTAGAAATAAATAACATATATTGTTACAATGAATATTAGCAGAAAACCTCAAAACTGAGGAAAATAGTGACTTTAAGGGTACACACAAAACTACACTTCAAAACATCTAAAAATTTGGATTATTAATTAAACCAACTTACATCTAAATAAAAGATACTACAAAAGCTTCTGTTACTGAAGATCTGTTGCTTACAAAACCCAAAGTGTATTAAAAAATTTGGAAACTTTTCAGAGTGATATAAATTCAAATTTTAGCCAAAGAAAAGCAGAAGTATCCCGATCATGTGTGAAATGAGTGCTAATTTAATATTTAGGGATCAAAACTTTGAAATACACTAAAAATTATTCAAATTGTCAAAATATTTTGTTTTCTGTTAAGACAAATGTTTATTCTGTAAATTTTGTGACACTCAACTTATAAATGCAACCGGAAGCCATAAAAGTTTGAGCTTATGTTGAATTTATCATAATTTGAAAGATGTGATCTTGTGATTGCCACAAACACAGTAAGAAATGTTCCATTTAATAGTTAAGAAATATACGTAGCATAATCCAAACAAATGATAATACAAAAATTACCTCTCCTATTTGTAAATGAATTTCTTTTATGGTATTTGACAATGATTCTATAATCTCTTTCATACGAAGAAGGTGTGTTTCTTCAATGTCTTGAAATTTCTGAAAACCAATACAAGCAATTAATCATAATGAAAATATTTCTTGAAATACTAAACCTTAAATTTTAGTAATTAAATACGCTAAATGAAAAAACTACACAATTTTAATTTTTTTCAGATCTTGATCATGGTAATTACAATGTTTAAGAAAGGAAGGTGTGGAATTCAGAGAGGTGTGAAATAAAGTACTTTAAAATACAGCATATCCTTTTAGAACCATTATCCAATCTTTTAACTTACTCTTTAAGCTTTCATCTATCTTGATTTTTAAAAATACCTGACTAGTTCTACTGAAAGAAAATAGGGTTAGTGTTTAAAAACAAACAAAAAAAATAAATTTTTTTTTCTCCATTACTGTAGAGACTCATTTTTTCATCTAAACCCAGGAATGAGATTTCTGGTTCCGTTTTGCAATTCCTTCTTTGCACACTCTCCTTCCCCTCACAATATACACACACATTCTGTTTCTCTAGTTAAATCTATATTCTTTGCTTCTTTAACTAGGATTAATCTGTTTGATCTTTAAACTCACCATATATAGTCCTTGCAGTTCGTTCCATTTGACCCAGACTTCCAGCTGACAGTCATTTAAAAATAATTTCCAACATTTTCAATGACCCCTTCCTAGCCAAAGATGAGAACCAGAAATGTTCCCATCCTCCCTAACAGTCAACCACAATTGTCTTGAAGTCTTTGTTTACTCCTGCTCTTTCCTAGTTCTCTTCCTATTTCTGTAACTCCCCTTTCAAGTGCGTCTAAACCTTGGAGCACCACTTAAACCTCCCTCCAATTTGTACACTGTTCTCTGAAGACCAGCTCTCCACATTTCACACCTCCTGCTACTCTGATTCACAAACACAACTCCACACAGACAAGTCAAATATCTCTAACTTCTAAACTCTCATTCTTTCTTTTGCCATATATACATACCTCTCTAGTCATCCATCAAGCAGATTAAAATTATTTTTTGACTCCAACAGCCTTCCTCTTAATTATAGAGGATATGGTCAGCCTCTATAGCCTACTCTATGATGTTACTTCTTTTACTGATTGTCTTATAGAAAACTGTATTATTTTGCTTTCAAAACTATCTGTGGTCTACCTCTATAATACTCGTTCTCAGTCACTATCAGGGTGTCAATACATGTACACGAAGTGTCCTTCCAGTAAGTGGCTGTTTCCACTAGCTAATTCTAACCTAAACACAAAGTCAGCTTTGGAGATTATGCTAATGATGCTTCCTTCATATTTGTTTTGAGCTCCCCATGCAAAACAGCAGTACCAGTCTCCTTTAAACTCTTCGCTATAAGGCTTATCAAAACAACGGGCCATTTACAGATTTTCTTATCTCTTAAGTCAGTGGAAAGCATCCCCCTCCCCCAGCTGTTTCCTTATTTCTTGTTTAATGTTTTATACTAAAGATGTAAAGTCTTTGAAATAGGCCCATCTTGGCCTTGTACAGTACATAATACAAAGAGGTTCTTATAAAAAAAAAGTATAGCTAGGTACTGTAATACAACAACATCATTCACATCACAGATATAGCAATTAACCAAATTGCTTACTTTTACTTCTGAAAGATCAGTCCACTTAAAAATGATGTACTAAAAAGAATCTGTAATGTTAATGACCCAACAAATATAAGCCATAGTGTTTCAAACTACAGTACAAATGAAAAATCAACAGGATCTTCAGCTGTCCAACTCAGTATATCCAGTTTAAGTAAGCATTACTGCTTTTTATAAACATCTATGTTTTCCTGTAACTTTTACAATGTCTTTTAAAAATTATTGCTCATTCTTGAACTTCATTTGCATACAGACTGCTCAACAGCAAAATAATCCAAACTCAACTCTACTCAGTTCTAAATTAAAGACAATTTAGCACTTTCAGCTATTTTATACTTTCCAGAACTGACTGTGCTACATGATTTTAAAAAAAGCTTCTACCATGGTGGAAAATACAGCAAATAAGACACCATGTTTTCTTAGAAACTGCATAGTAATTGCATCGTACATCTATAGCTTTCCTCAGAAAAATCCTTCAACATGAAGAATTTCTGTCAAATCCAATTTCTAAACAACAGTGAACTATATAGTCCTACTTCTTTAATCAAAATAAAACTTTCCATGTTTAGTGCAGCAAAAACCGTAACTTGCAATTCAAGATTAGGAAGACAGTATGTTTCAAAATTCAACCTCTCAATATTACACATTATGAGTCACTTCGCTTTGATAACTGCAGGTAAGATAGCAAATGACATAAGAGGAAAAACCTATAAAATTTATGCAACAAGATCAATGGATTTAACTAAGAAAAGAGGACAGCTAAGTGAGGACATTACTACATGATTACCTAGAATAACGCCACAATGTTATTGAAGATATTCATCCTCAGAAAAACAGTATGTGAACAGTGTAAAAGAGATTTAAGATAAGCCAACTGATTTTGCACTGAAACAGCTGAGAATGCTCACACTCCTCATTGATTTTGTTTCCAGAACTAGTATATTTCAAGTGAAATGTACTCTAAATTAAGATAATCTAGAGTGTGCTTCATATAGACGTAGGCTTCCACATATTCATGGGTGTTGTCATTTTTCCTATCGCATCATCTTTAAAGTCACCCTCCTGAAACCAAACTGTAGATGCAGTTACACCATTATACTTAAAACAAATTCCATAGATATGACTTATACTAGCAGAATGACAATTTTCATGTCCAGGTGTGGAAAGTTTCCAGGTGTCCATTATCATGTTAAGTGAAAATTTAAATTTTGAGTAAAAGTTGTTGCAGTTAAGGAACTAAGGACATTTAGACTAGCATGGTCTGTAGTGACAGGTAATTTTGTACCATTTTTGTATTGGGGGAAAAACCCAACCCAAAAAGATCCTAAATGTCCCCCCACTCCCACCCCCCGCAAAACCACCAAAACCCAAAGCAGTCCAAAAGCATGGTGAGGGTTTTCCAGCTGTACCATCCGATAGAGTAAAAAAGATTTTTTCCTTTGTCTACATCTCAGCCTGGTTTAGATATATAATACTTACCTAATAACACAAATAAGAAAGCTGAACAAAGAGTACCTTTGATTCCGTGTCTAGATACAAAACAAGCTGTTACTTTTCTCATTCTTTTGTCAGAGTGGATTGTTCAAATGTTTGGTAGTTTCTTTTAGTACATAATGAAAAGCCCAGCTAGTTTGCTTGCTGAAAGCCCCAACACTTTCCTTCCCTAATTCACTGACAAGAAAATCCATTTAAAATACTCTTCATGTTTTTCTTCTGACAGTTCTAAACAAAAACTCCTTTTCATTACTTACAGCTTTCTTGCTCACCAGGGTCAAGTTTACAGTGCAATTCAGCCAGGCCAGCTTATTGAAGTCATGTTTGTTAAATTTTTTTCTTATTGTTTCAGAAGCAATAAGCCAACTGCAATAAACACAGTCACTTTCTTGTAAGGTAAGGAACAGACAGAAGATAGCCTTTGTGAGACTGAAGATTTAAAGCAATCTGACTGAACTTGCTCTGCAGTGGATCAGAAGCATTCACAGGATCTCTCAACAATATTTGTTGACTTGTTATCCTGTGGGAAAACATTAGTGGATTCGGGGCTTCATCAGATAAACTTCAGATACTCAAAGCCTTGGATCTTTCTTGAAAATAGTCAACCACATCGTCCTTGGGCATTAATGGAAAAAGTTGTTTTCAGTCTAAATGTGGAACACTGAACTTCTTTTCCCTCCCTTCTAAAGCAAATAGCTTCTGTTCTACAGGAACACTTAAGAAATTGGAAGATTTGCCCATAATTCAACAAATGATTCAGTGGGGGTTCAGTAACTTCCAGAGCAAGGTAAATAACAAACAGGGCAGCAACTTCTTGATCCAGAAGAGCCACACTTGTATATGATTTGAGACAAATAAATGGAAAAGTTCAGTATTTTTTCTGGTATTACTTGATTTCTTTGTAGCAAAAGGTAGGGTCTGCAGCAGAAGTGGCGCAAACATTTATACAGACCACACAATGATGAAGTTACCGTAACACTTTCTGAGCAAATACAACAATTACATTAATAGGAATACTACAAAAAAGTTACCATTTTGGGTAGCAGCAGTATATATTCACATGTCAGTTTGATTCCACCTACTCTTATTTCTGAGAACTCTCCAGGAGGAATATTACACTTCATGATTCTTTTGTTGCTATTATATTAGACTTGTTTCCAAGAACTGTTTTAACATACATATTAGTTAGCCTTAAAAAGGTTGCCTTGTCCCAAAATCCTCAAGCAACTGTAATCACACATGCCAATACCAACCCTAAACCCAGTCAAATTGCCTAGGGATAACTGATATGCCAATATTGTAAGTAACAGTGAGACACAGACCATGCTAAGGCAACATATATAAATGTGTGCAGTGGACATATATGCAAATGAGTCCAGGCCAGTGTCACACATTAAAACTGCTTAAAGATGCAATTCTCCACCCTTGGTACGACATTACCTCTGCCCTTATGCCAGCACAAATGCTTGTGTGACCTCTTAATAAACCAGACCACAGGTCTCTTCCGGGTTAAAGCCAACCTTCCTTCATATAGTAGTTTTAGCTGGATTAGTTTTACAAGGTAGTTCTTTGCACAAATACTTGACAAAGGAAGAAGCACGGAAATAGGACAATTGCTACTTTTGACAGCAACACCAACTTAAAACATGTATTAAAAACACAGCTTCACACATGAGAGATGACAGAAGTGCAACAGGCCTTATGGCCTAGACCATGGTACTCATGAACTTTATAATTGAATTTTTAATTTTAATAAAGCCTTTTTATACTACTGAGTAACTGCAATCATCACTGTTTTACACTCTGCAATTAAAAAAAAAAAGCATTTAAAAGTCACAGATTTTTTAAAAGGGGAGAAAAATAATGTAGGTAACCAAATTTAACTAAGACTCAAAATAAAAGCATAAGGAGTAACAGATCCTTCAACCAGAACTGAGTCAGGATACTGCACAAAAAGATGCCTTCTGCAAATACTTCAAGTAAAGTCTGTCAAAACTCCTAATGCAACAGTCATGTTAAAAGCAGAGTTTTGCAGTAGCATGCCTGAGCACTTTGCTGCAAATGCCTCGACTGGGGGATGGGAGGGAAGAGTTCTGGTATGTGGTATATGTGGTACCCATTCTCTAACAGCTGTGTTGAGTACTTATTCAGAGATGAACTAGATCAAATTCTAATGAACCTTTCAAAATAGGAATGCAGTTTACAGTTTAGGACAAGGCAGCTTTTTACACGTTAGCCTACACAATCCCCGTGCTGTGAAATCTTAATTTCCAAGGAGTTAAGGAAAAACCTAATACTTTCCCATTTATATGTTAAAATCTGAATCTCTCTAATAATTTCATCTATGCCTAAAAATTAATCTTTGAAACTAATGAAAAGAGCAAAGAATTTTCAACCAAAAAAGAAAATTCCTATCTTGTAAAATCAAGAAACATATACAAATAAATATGCCAACCAGTCCTCAACTATTAGCATTAAAAGCAGAAATTACGAAGTTTGCTTTTTGAAATCCAGGGCAGTGGAAAAAACTCTGCTATCAACAGATTTGAAAAAGAAAAACTTTAAAACATAAGAAGAAGCAGCAGATGCAATGATACAGAGAACTTGAATCCTCTGAAATACATATTAAAAGTCTTCAAAAAAAACCCAGAAACTTGAACAGATGTAATGGCTTTTTACCACCTCTTGTAAACCCTGGGAAGACACTTTAACAAGCTGTAACTAAAGTGCTTTGCTGGAATGATAACGAAAAAAACATAATGGATCCCAATATTAAAACTCCTATGAGTGAGTTCTGGGTGCCCAACAATTCACAAGATTTCCCACATGATCACAATGCATCTACAATACTTCCAGAAGTTCATTTTGTTTTCTTCCTAAAAATTTCTAGAGTGCTAGTGCTTAACTATGTCATTCAAGGACAGTGCCATCGCAACACTCATGGTCAGTGTTTACCCGTCAAACATATTACTTCTGACATTATTGTTCATATCAATTTCCAAAGGAGACCATTCTATCTTGAAGAAATTTTTCAAAAGCTTTTATTCCAGATGTCTTCAGATGAAACAGCATATATGAATCTATTTCAAAGGTAAATCACTCAATGTAACACTTACCTGTGCAGTTTCTGTCATCTTCTGTTCAAAATCAGATTTAAATGCAGCGTATTTCTCCACATATAGTTTATAGGTATCTGTAGCTTTTTTTGATTTAACTGCTGCCTGTAGATGAGTACAAAAAAAAGTGTCAAATGTCACACATACAAGGTTTTAAAAGACACTATTAATAGAAAGCCTAGGATAATCTATAAAAAATATTCAGGGGCGTATCAAAACAGTCAAGTGTCATAACAAAATTTCACCACCAAATAACACAGATTCAAGCCATTCGAAATTTCTACTTAAAGTTATACATACACCAGATAAAAAGTTAACAAAGCAATTACCTTATTTAAATCCCTTCCCCCTATCAGCAATTACAAATTTATAGTATACTTCTTTGAAATCAAATTTGTATTGCTGAAGTTAACTAATTAGCTCTTGTCAAATATTTAGATCTGCAAAACAGGAAAAAAGCAGGGTTTCAATACAGAGCAAATGGTTATTTGCACAATTCTGAGAGAATCAATGTCAGAAAAAAACCAAGAAGGTGCAGTTGTCTGTTAGAACTGAAGGAAGAAATTTAAAAAAATACAGGCGTTAAATTAATGGAAACTTTAAGACTAAGATATTTGAAAGTGAAGTTAACGCATGACGTTAAAGGTGGCCAGACTTATGCTTCTTGGTGCTGTTTATATTGGTCCTTATTGACTTTATTGATTTTTTTAAAATTATTTTTTGTTACAAATAAACCAAAGTAATCTTTCTGAGAATTCAGTATTCTTAAAAGACAAAACAAACTACAGGAGAATCCCAGTATTACACAGAGAACAGAACTGAAAGAAGTGATTGTGGTAGACAAAAAGTTATTCTCAAAGTTTACAGCATGACACACATGAGGAGTTTTTCAAACCTTTGATATTCTTGCTATTTCCAAGTTAAAAACCAACAAAAATAAAAAACATCTTGAACACCAGCTTTTTCTCCTAGCTTCTTTGTTCAACATGCCTACTTCATCTCACCAAATTTTCCCATCACTTGTAACCGAAAAGTGTTCCTGAATTGTTAATGACATCAGCAAAGACAGCTGTGTATTTACTATTTTTTCCAGTTCTCAATAGCTCTCCTCCCCTCTTTCAAATTAATTTCCTCTGTCCCACAGTAAAAGCAGAAAGTACTTCTCACTAGCAACAACTTGTAAAGCTGACCACTATCTATAACTTTCAAACGAATTAATACAAAGATCCTGTATGGAAAGAGAGTTTTATTCTGCAATTTCCAAGAGAAAAATAACTGCAAATCATAAGTAACAGTATAGCATTAGCACTTGTTCACCTGGGGAAACATCAACCAGGACTTCAAAGAGGAACCAAAGCTACAGTTCCACTTTACCAATTACACAGACAGCTTAAGCAGATCTTAGACACACAGCCTTCTCAACCCATCATAACAAAACTTGAAAATACTTCACTGTATAAAGAATATGGATCCTTCAAGCATTAAAAGGAGAGCACAACAGATTGTATCAAATCCATCAGTTATTTGTCCTGAATTTTACTTCATGATTCTCTTGCGCATTCACACAGAGGAACTACCAAGAGAACAGTCCTATCTCCTTTCTCAAATGAGATTTACTATGCTGAAAGTACAAGGTGCTCTATGAACACCTGCTTTGCAACAAGATGATTCCAAACTTAACCACTGAAAAGGAAGGGAATGCCATGTGAAAAGACTTCAAAAACAAAAATAAGGGTTTTTTCATAAAACATTATGTAATTGAACCCCATATGCATGAGATTTTGACAAAAATCAAAAGATCCTCTGTCTCTTGTAATCATGTTTAATGATGAGCAGAATCTGACTGTTATGTGCTTGAAGAGCATCTACAAAAACCAACTACTCAGCAGGACAGACAAAATGATAAACATGTGAACATTGTATGATTAACTAGTAATATCTTCTGAAAACAGGATGTGTGTATTCTCAGGTGCAGCAATTGCTAGAACTCTTATTTATCAGATCTGCAGTAAGTGAAAGAACAAGGATCAGTCAAGAATTTTTTGTCAAGTCACTATAAATAGAGAAGTTCACATGTCAGAGAACAACAGGAAACTATTACACAAGTTAACACTAACTTTCAGCTGTGAATAAGCTTTTAGCATATTGCTGCAGATGCCCTGCTTTCTGGTAAAGTAGTAGTTCTGTGATTTTGATAGAAAACATTTTTCATGTTGTGCTAAAAGTAATAAACCCATTATCTGCCAAAGGAAAAATGAATACCATCTTTTGTCACGTTCCTGAAACTGCAAGTGCAAACATGAATAACAACATGACTGAGGAGATGTGACGGTCACAGTTACCTGCTCCCACCGGAAACATTTCTTAAGTACTTGCAGAGCATTCAACTATAGCCTAATTGCTCACACAGAAGTATCTAGGGAAGATGCATGAAACAGTAAAAAAAATGGCCTTCATCCTATTGCGCTTCCCCTTTCTCCCTTCTCTGATGTACACATCAGTCAGCCTGAAAATTTTTTTGTTTCCAACTGAACAACCATAATGTTATGCGTCTTAATAACAAGCCTTCCACCAAGCAAACTTTTCCTACTGAAAAGTTTCTATTTACAAGAATTCAGAAAAATTACACTTCGAACAGACTGGCAGGAAAACATCTGCCAACCCACACATTTCTGATTCATGTCTAGAATCCAACATTGACTGTAGTTTGAGACACAAACTAGGGAAAAAAGATAGATTTATATCAAACATAAAACAATCGGAACACAGTCAACAGGATCACTTTTGTCATCACTGAAAAGACAATAACCAATTCTATCTGCTTAGACAGCAGTATAAAAGGCACTAAGATCATTCTAGCAAGAACAGAGTCCTACACAGATCAAGTAACTGAAATTGAAATAAGCAGTAGTATCAAGAGAAGACATAGTTAGGGAAACATGACCTCTTTCCTCTACTGAAGTTTCCTGAAAACAGGAAAAAGTTAGTGACTCCAGCAGGTCAAGGGAGATGATCCTTCCCCTCTATTCAGCACTGGTGAGGCTACACATGCAGTACTGTGTCCAGTTTTGGGATGCCCAGTGCAAGAGAGCACAATGTCCACAAAGATGATGAAGGGTCTGAAGAATATCTCCCACGAGGAAAGGCTGAGAGAGCTGGAACTGTTCAGTCTGGAGAAGAGAAGGCTCAGGGAGGATCTCACCAATGTATACAAATACCTGAAGGGAGGGTGTAAAGAGGATGGAGCCAGGCTCTTCCCAGTGGTGCCCAGTGACAGGACCAGAGGCAATGGACACCGACAGAAACACAGGAGGTTCCCTCTGAACATGAGGAAACACTTTTCTCTGGTGAGGGTGACCAAGTAGTGGAAGAGCTTGCCCAGAGAGGCTGTGGAGTCTCCATCCATGGAAGTATTGAATAGCTGTCTGGACATGGTCCTGTGTAGCTGGCTCTGGGTGGCCCTGCTTGAGCAGCAGTGTTGGACAGGATGACCTCCAGAGGTCCCTTCCAGCTTCAGCCATTTTGTGATTCCGTAAATGGCTCAAACTCCCCCATAATCTAACGACAGTACTAAGTACAATATTAAGATACTCATTCTCATGTGTGCAGACAATGAAGTGTAAACAAAACATAACAAGGTATTCAAATACCATGCCCACTATGAAATAGTCACAACTACTACTTTTAACCACTTTAAGCCCTTTCTGAGCATTTCATTTACTAATACAAGTGACAATACAATGAATTAAAGTAAGATGTCACAGAACTACCTTATCAACTTCTCTCTGTGTTGCTCCTTCCTTTTTCAAACGTTCTTGTTCAACACACTTTGCATTGTAGTTTTCCTTTGATTTCTGTAAGGCCTGAGTGATACTTTGAATATTTTGCACTGCTTCCAACGTTCCTGAAACATCTTCTTTAGTCTGCCAAATATCACACGATTGTCAAAACCAAATCATTTTAATGTTAATGTTAACAAGTCATTGGATATGCACAAGAAAAAAATTAATAACCTTTTTATAAGCTTTGATTTGTTCATCTCCATACTTGTGAACTTCTTTTATTAGCTCTTGTAACCTCCGCACAAGCTCCAAGTGACAGCTTGCTAGTTTTTCTGTTGAAGTCTTGAAAACATCCCAAACTGGTGCAAACGTCCTAGATTGAGGAAAATAATATTTAATGTTCACCTGGATTTGTTCCTTTTATTTGGCTATGATTTTTTTTTTTAATAGTGCTAAAGTATAACTGTTAAGTTTACAGAAGTTCACTTCTGTTCCTAAAACTTAAACAAACAAAATCCAACAACTGCTATAAATTCTTATTAAATGTTTTAAATGTATTTGAAATCCTATCTACTAATTTTTCCATGCTTTATGTTTTACCTCTCTTGACTCTGATGAGAAAAACACAGCAAAATTTACTTAAATCTTCTCTATCATCAGCACACAATAATGTCAAGTGCTACTGCTAAAGATGACACGAGAGCAGCTCAAAATAATTTAATGTGTGTTTTTATGTGTATACTTGAATAGTGCAAACAAATCAGAAATTACCCTGTAAGTTAAGTTTCTAGTTGTCTTACATCATTACATCCACAAGATGCAGGAAAAATATACTGTCAAAGATGGTCTGCCATTAAATAGATTTACTGATTAACAGAGATTAACTGTATGGCAAAGGAAGGTGGGAGACAGATCATTCCTCAGGTTCAGATCTGTGTACTGAACGGACTTCTCCAGCTATTCTAAAGATACACTCTACCTCAGTTTCCTGGTGCACACTGCTGAAAAATCAATACTGTACATAGCCTTTAAAGCACTGATGTTCAAACCAACATGCAGATACAGAACCTTTGAAGAACAGCAACAACTGGTATCAAATTATCCCCTGACAAAAGCTCCCCACACTTGTAGCTGTGATTAGTACAACTAAAAAAAAAAAAATCTAGCCTCATATAAGAAGTCTGAGTTCTCGCTGAGTTCTCATTTCTAATGAGAAAATATCCATTAATCATTCCAGTTTTTAAAAACATATCCCTTGTATAAAACTTTCATTAAACTATGGAATAAATCTATTGAAAAATCTCATTCTTAACATCTCTGAGGACAGAGATAACACTCCAGAAAGCAGAAATAATAGAAATAAATAAATTTACTGCCACATTTGCAGACCATATGTTCTCTCTTCAGAATAATTACCATAGGCTTGGGAGGACAGAATAGAAAGTCACATTCTTTATATGTCTGAAAAGAACCCAACCTTAAACACAGAGGAACAGACAGTTCCTCTGTCTTTGGGCTTTATTTTTCTTTTTAAACTGTGAATAAAGAGCTGTACTGTCTTCATTTTTTTCACAGCCGGGTGATATTTTGCACGGTTACTGTAGAACTAACCATAATTTTTAAGTGTCAAAGTTATGCTACCTTCAACACAATCAATAAAATATTCAGAATTAAACTTGATTCTTAACACGTATGCAGTTATTTATTTCTCTCTTATGTACACATACTCACCCAAGTTGTGTGTAACTGCTTGCTGATTTGGCTAGTTTTGTCATTGACCTTGAATATGCCTCCTCTATTGTAGCCCTGTCAAAAAAAGCCATCACAAGCATAACTGAAATTTTGAAGATATTTGAAGACAGATGAATATGCATGCTAAAGATGCAAAACAGAAGACTTTTTACTTTAGCTGAAAATGAGTCCATTTTAATGACCCCTCAGAAACTATATCAGAATCATAGAACTGTATTTTAAAAAAATAATGTAAGAACCCTGTGACAGAATGTTGTAGGGAACAGAAACAAGTAAAACCTAGGGACTCGAGACTTGATTGAAAAAGACAATTCCTTCCTTCATATACTCTCTGCCATTCCACTCCACCTTTAGCGTTCTTTAACATTCAGACACAATGACATAACAATCACCTGCCTAGCACTGTCTAAACACCAGAGATTTACAGAGCAACAAAAACAAATAGAATTCTAACAAAAACATTAAAATAAACAAATTGAATGCTTACTGAGTAATCACATTAAATAAAATGGGGTCTTGTCTAGTCTTTTTGTAAGGGGATTTTGGTGGGTTTTTTTGGTTATTTAAGTTCTTTGCTTGGTGATATTTGAGTTTGGAAAACATTTTAAAAGCATGCAATGAAGAGTACTATGTTCTACTGTTTACACTCATTTTTAAAGAAGACTGCCTCAATACATTCTGATTCACTCTGGAAAACCTCTTCCCTACATAAACTTTCATTATATTTTCCTGCACTGAAACCCACAATTTTACTTGTCTTTTGGAGATTCAAAATCCAATGGCAGCCTGGCATACTGAGATGCATCAGTAAAGCAGGGCTGAAGAAAACACAATGGAACAGATAGGTTTAATATCCTGATGGGAGGTGCCACAAACTTACTGCTTCTGGTCTGCATCACTGACAGATGTTTTCCAAGTTGCAAGTTGTTCTTAAGGAACTATATTGAAGCCTTTTCAAATAAATTAAAATGTAGCACCAAGAATCCAGTGAATCTCAGAACTGAAAATTTTCATATATATTTTACCAAAAATGCTGCAAGATGGCTGCATATCTCTTTGGCACATCTTGATCCATGCACAAGAGCAGAAAATACATTTCTTGGGCTCTCATTGAGGATAAAGTGCCCAAGTGGATCCTCATGTATTCCTACATAGACATTAATCTTTAGGCTTAAATGTTATTTAAACTTCTTTAACTGGGAAAAAAAATTATGTCTTGACAAATCACTAGAATTACTTAGCAGAAACTTCATCTGAAACATTTTTAACATGTGGAGAAAGGTCCAAATACATTATTTATTGATTGCAAAGCCACATCTCATTTAAAATTTAATTTGGAGGAGCTTATAGAGTGAAAAAATCTAGAACGCCACATTATTTTTACTAGGAATTTTGTGTAGAATGAACTGTCAAGTTTTATTTAAGTCACTATAATAAAGCAAAGAATCCAAGCCAGATATAGCACCAAGTTATTTTTACCTATTTACACAAGACCCTTCACCTTAGGACCAGTATGAGTAAAATGGAGCACGCCCAAAAAACACAACATAAAGAAGATAAGAAACAGAGTGAGTGAAAGAGCTTGTGATCTAAATGTGGAGGTAAATCAAAATGCAACAGATGTAAAACTAGTAAAATTAAATGTGTCTAGGTGACGTACAGCTTAGGTCTATGATTTACTGCCATAAAAACGGAATGATTCCAAAAATTAAAGCAAGTTTTGAAGCAAAGATCCAGGCACTCACAAAGACAACGCAAGGCAAACATTTATAACAGTCAATATTAAAAGTGCAAGCCTGTGAAGCCTTAAGCATTTCATACTGAACAGGAACAGTGTGACAACCCTCTGCTCAATCTGATGCACAATTTCACTGGAACACTGTCTGGCTTCATAATGTGTTCTCTGGAATCAGGGATCCTTGAAACACCAGGTTCCCTGGGCTGTGCAGTCCTTCCAACAGTAGACTGCCCATCACACACGGGCTTTGGAACTCACCCATTTCTACCTAGTGGAAAGATTTTTGTCATTTTCTCCAATTCACTTTGAAACTACGCAAATACCAGTGCAACCGAGTACCTGACAGATCTGTGGTGGTTACCTTTTGTGGAAATTTAAAAGAAATTCTTTGTTAAGATCTATTTCAAGCCAAACCCGAAACTTTCATGAAAAATTCCAGAAAACAAAAGCTTGTTCTTTGGACAGCTTTTACCAAAAGAAACCTTTAGCGAAACAGGTCCTCCATCAGTCTCTTGCAAGTTTTTTCCATGCATCATCTGCTGTCAGTAACTAAATTAAGACAATATTCTGAAGCAGACATACAATTAATTTTGTCCAGAATGGAAATTCTTCCGTTCAATGTAGCAGGAGCAGTATTCTTTCACAAATATGAACTAAAAACAGCACTAGGTCACCTGCTTTGGAAGTTGTCATATCTGCAGTTTTCACTTCTGTCCCTTCTGTTCCATAGAGAAGAATCTCTGTTATTTTCTGCACATTTTTTTCTTGTCCCTACATATCACTACGTGGGGATAATTGCTAGCAGTTGCTAATACACTAATTGGACATCTATGGTCAAAAACATTGTATGACTGCTAATTTTTGCTACTTTAAATTATTGCTTTTCTTCCACATATGATGAAAAAATCAGGATTAATTTAAATAAACTGCTGGACACCTAAAATGACACTTCTAGCTTTTTGCTTTTGTTTTTTAATTCAAACCTGAAAAATTAGAAGCTTATTAATTGATGCTTAAGAGTCACTATTCAGTTCTAAGTGAATGGAATAAACCTAGATATTCTTGTAGGATATAAGAGATATTTTTTAAATGCTTATTGATTTTTATGTATTTTGTATGTTACTGTTAAACATAATGATAAACTTACACAAAAACCACAAACAGCATATTAAAGTGACAGGATTACCAAGGATGAACACCTACCTTTCTCTTATAAAGTCTGCTAAGTCTTTTGTTGACAAATGTCCGTGTTTCATGTTGTGATAGAGGACGTCAAAGCCATTGTTCCTTTCCCCCTAAAGATTAATAAAAAGAAAGTAGAACTATGAAACACAACATGCTAAAGCAATTACAGAACAAAGTATAGAACCTATGCATTTTAATAAGTGATCAAGTTCCATGAAATGAATGACTTCAAATGCTTCAGTTTTTTACCAATTGCTTCAATCCTCTATATGTAAAAATCACTAAAATCACCTCAGCAGCTACTACTACCCTTCTAATGACAATTCTTCTATCACATATTTCTAGGCTTTATTCAAAGCCACTTCTTTTCAAGACTTCAACAGGTCTTGTACTCCTTCACTTCGCATCTTATTAAACACATACTTAATACTGTACTCTCTCTTCATTCTCTTCTATCTTTCATTATTTTCTATGAACTAAAATTCACAGTTTGGGATCACTGGATATCCTGCTTCCCCAATTTTCACACTTCATTTATCTTCCTCTTTTTTTGTGAAATTGGTAAAAAAAAAAAATACCACTAATGTCTTCCTTCTCACAGGTAGCTTCCCTTTCACTACTCTTAAGTTCAGTTTTAAAACTTAAAACACTTTGCTAGAAAATAAGGCATACTCACCATTCAAACTGAGACACTGCCTAAACACTGATTAATAAACTCAGCCAGCTTGTCACCTCTGGCACTGTGGCGAGCTTCCTCCATGACAGGAGAAAGCAACAGAAAAGAAAGGAAGGCGAGGCAAGGCCTGGCATAATAGCACGGCTATCATAAAGTTTTCCTGTCAAACTATCTGTTCCCCTCCTCCATTCCAAAAGCTTCAGATCCATAACACTACTGCTACAAAAGACGCAGAAACATGCCCTCAGGAAAACTGCACGCATGTTCAGAGTGGAAGGGAAAGAAGGATGGAATAGAACAGAATAGTTCCAGCTGAAGTGACCTACAACGATCATCTAGTCCAACTGCCTGTCCACTTCTGGGCTGACCAAAAGTTAAAGCACGTTGTAAAAAGCATTGTCCAAATGCCTCTTAACACTGATAGGCTCGGGGCATTGACCACCTCTCTAGAAAGCCTGTTCCAGTGTTTGACTACCCTCTCAGTAAAGAAATGCTTCCTAACATCCAGTCTGGCCCAGCTTTGAACCATTCGCACGCGTCCCATCACTGGATCCCAGGGAGAAGCGATCAGCAGCTCCCTCTCCACATCTCCTCCTCAAGAAGCTGCAAGGAGCAATGAGGTCACTCCTCAGCCTCTGTTTCTCCAAACTAGACAAACTCACGAGTCCTCAGCTGCTCCTCACAGCAGCCTTCCAGCCCTTCCACCAGCTTTGGTGCCCTACTCCTGAAACATTCAAGGACCTTAACATCCTTCTTAAAATCATCGACTTTTCACACAGTAGCTCAACAACTCCAGTGATACGAGCCTGAGGATTTGGTCATAGACTCCTCCAAACATTTTTCTCCTTTCTGTTCTGGAAAAGAAATGTTTGTGCAGCCATAATGTGCGCCTGATCAGGGAAATTATACAGCTGAAAAATAAAGCTGGCAAATAAAAATAAACACATTGGTTCTCCAGATCAATATGAGGACACGAACAGCTGCATTGCTCAGCAGAAGAGGTGGGAGTAACAAGGAGAAGGCAGGCAGGGATCTGCCAGCTCAAGTAAGTGGAAGCAGTCATGGGTGGATGGAAGAAGCAGCCATGGTGGTAGCAGGCCCACTTCTGTGAAGTGTTAACTGCACTAAATAACACATCAGTCAATAATATAGCAAGTTGCCTTAAAGGACACATGCACAGACACATAAAACTTACAAATAACATACAATTGAAGGCAATTTGATTCAGATTACTAGCCAGGATTATTTGCTTTACTTCTTCCAAGCATCAGCAGAAACAAAACCAAACAAACAAAAAGAAAAAATACCTATAAAATTACAGTTTCTAAGGTCGGAGTAAACTGTAACCTGAAAAAGTTTATCAAAATGTAGATCAGTTTAGTGTAAGTGCAATTGCAGAAAGGTATGCAAAAAGTACAAGCAGAACTAAATTGAATACGTGAAAATATAGCACACTCTAAAAGGACTATTTACAGAGCAAGCCTTTTATAAGTTTGAAAAATAAAAGATGGATAAGAACACCAATTAGTAGGAATTGTAATTAATTTTTTAAAAAATGTCTTATTCTCTCAAGTATCACTCCACACAGTTTCACTCCACCTCTACCTATTTCCTTGTAGTTCGAAGCCCACAATAACTTTGACTACTAGTACACTAATAGGTAGCTTATTAACTTCCTGTACTTACTCAATATAAACCCTGAATGCCACTGCATTATAAAACCACTAGAACAACTCTATAATTAAGACCTCACCAATATTTTCAATTAGAATACAAAATAAAATTTTGACTACTCCAAAATTGTTACTGTACCCAAATTTGGAGACAACCATTTACAAATAAGTGTTAGGCATTTCTTCCAGAAAAACTAATAGAATTCTCCTTTATGAAATGTTCTTTCCCTTTGACTTAAGGTGTTTATTCTAGCTAAACCAACACATTGATCAAAATATGCTGGACACAGACTACTTCCGAACTTTTCATAATGGGACCTTTAATGGGGATTTTTCCATACTAGAGCTCCACAAATTTCCTGCCACTTTAGAAATACAGGAAGGGTACATAGCCATGATCCAGCCTCTGGCTGCAGCCTTCCTGATGGCTGATAACCTACCAGAAATATAACTTTGCAAACCTCTAGAGAACAGAACGAGCCAGAACAGCCAATTCCCATTATCATCCTGTTCCCTGACTGTAACTGAGGGTTACTGCAAAGGAACTAATTTTTCCACTTAAATTAAGTTTTCAAATCAGTCCTACTCTTGTTCCTGACTTCACATGGAATAGCAGAAAGCACAACAGAGAAACAGAACAGATACTTTCCTCAATTAAAAAAAGTTCCTCGAAAGCCACATCTTTTATACATTATCAATTGTTATCAGAGGCTAAGAGGCTATGCGAAAAACATATTAAAGAAATCCAAAGCAGCCTACCAGATTTGAGGGCCTATGTGGTTTAAGCTTGGCACAACTAGAAGACATGTTTTCACTTGTGAATATAATGCCAAGTATAGCCTATCTCACCAATATCAAACTCTACCTATAAACACAAATATCTAGACTTCAAAACTGTTCAATAATTTTAATTTACATGATCAAGAGTTCTCATGATTAACATGATGACAACTCTATAAATTCCATTGTCTCCTACTTGTGTGCAAAGATATATCCGTACGTATGTGAATTAAGTATGGTATCCCAGTGTAGACAGCAGACATTTTTCTGCGTAGGAAAAGCTATACGGCCCATCCGCAACTCCTTCATTTAGTAGTTATATTCAGGAAGAGTAGCTCAAATAATTCATACAATAACCACCAGAGTTAAGGCTTGGAATTTAGGACAAAGAGATATACGCTACAGCTAAGAGGAAAAGCAGTTCAATTTACAAAAACCACGTACCTATCCTCTTACACACACATATGCCATCAACACTGTTTATTTGTGTTTCGTTCGTTTTTCCTCAACACTGTCCCTCCCTACACACACTGTATAAAAATCTGTACATAGAAATTGTGTGTCTAGCCAATTTTTCTTCATTAAGTGTTTTCACCTGCTTCTTCCTGGTGGCAACAGTAATAGCTGGGCTTGCTAAAAGCCCAGTATCGGTCTACTTAAAAATAAATAAATGCAGCACATAGCAGAGGGAACTGATGAGACCTTCCACTCCCATTCAGAAGCAATTGTCATCTACCGCTATGACAGACAGACAGCGAAGACAGATGCAGATTCTTCTAGAAGCTGCATCTTGGAGAAAGAGGAACTTCTGTTGTCACATGTAACATCAGACTCTACGCAACAGACTTCCAGGTCAGTTTGTAAGACCATCCTGAATGTCATTTTGCAAGTAAAACACCACCTGCTGAGGATGATCCAGTCACTACTCAAGAGAAAACAACTGTAAGACTGTGTACAAGAAAGCAAAAGGTATGTGGTACCCTCTCCATATAGGCTCCATTTAATTACTTTAAAGTTCATTAGTAGTTTTCTCCTTCTTCCCTAGAGCTAAAAAAACTCTCTCTTCTGAAGCTGGTGTTCTTATTGAGTTTTCCCATTTTACACTGCTGTAAGGCAGCTCTTTTGTGTATATAGTATAGATGTCCCCTGACAGCAAGCCATAAGAGGAAACAAGACTTCAAATCCAAGTAAATGCTTCACTTAAATAAGCCTACAATAAGGCATCACTGACAATCTCTGCATATAACATAAAGTAAGTCACGGCAAGCAAGGGCAGACAGCCCTTCCATTTCCCTTCATCAAGAACTAACTGCAATGATTTTCTCATGGAAATGAAAGTAACCCTGCCAGCAACTGCAAATTCAGAATTCAGCATTTCCATGACTTGTACAAAACAGGAAACAGATTAGAGGAACTCTGTTTTACTGAACTATTTAACAGACTTTGAAAAATTTTAAGAATAAGTTAGCTTGCTGCACATAAAGATGATTCTGAATTTAAAACCTACATTTGGTAAAGTAGCCAGAAATTTCTGGGCCATCTGCAGCAGTATTTATTTCCTACATTTTTAATCAAATTGCACGAGTGCAAGCTCTGTCTACTTTGATCTAAAACTGCTCAACATCAACATCTATTAGTGTAAATAGTTAATACTATCTATTATAGCATTGTCATTTATACTCAGTATAAACAACTCTTTCTCAATTATTAAAGTGACTCTAAAGTGTTCCCATAACTGGTCAGATATGTACTACTTGTTTAGCTAATGCAAGAGACAAGAAAAGGACAGCTGCAAATACTATTTTCACAGCAAAACTAAGCATATGAGACTATAAAAGGCACACACTGTTCTTAAACACATTTTGATTTTGGTCAAACTGTAGAAGCTTGATGTGAGAAGCTCAGACAAAGTCTGACTTTTTCTAACTAAGTTCAGCAAGTAAAGAAACATTTGACAATAACTGAATCACTGTAA